CAACCGGGAAAGATAATTCTATGAGAATTTTTAATATGACTATTTACTACAAAATGGATGTGACAATAAAAAACAAAAGATGTATATATTAATTTACCACATACTGTATATTGTATTTTATTGTAATATTAATACAGTTTTTTAAAAAATAAAGATAATCTACTAGTCTTTAAAATTTAAATATAGAAATTTTGTTTTTATTATATTTTTATCTGATTATTAAACTTATTCTAAAATATATTAATGTTGAGAAGTTCGTTTTACATTACTTTTTGTTAAGATCCAAAAAAAGTATAGATTGACTATTCTTTAAATATTATGGTTGGCCGGTATTATTGTATATTATGATTTGACTGTTCTTTCTGAAGCTATGAATTGAGTGTTTTTAAGTATATAAATTAAAATACTCTTGAATATTGATTCTACTTGATGGATAAACCACGAAAATGGTTTAACTTTTTACATAAAAGATATACACGAGTTATCAAGCATAGCTATTAGAGATTAAAAGTTAATAAATAATATATTTAATACTATTACAACATTATGATGCAATTTAGTTTGTAGAATTTAGTTATTATTTAATATTAAATAGTATTATTGAACATAAAATTAAAGCATCACTTACAGATTTTTATTATTATCGCTCATACTTTCTCAATACTGTAATGATACCTATGATATCATCATTACAATCGATTTGTTTAATAAAGAAAATTGCATTAACTTCTTATTTGGTAAAGGGATCTTGTATGAGCAGTCTATATGTAGTATGTATGGTGCAAGAATGACGAGGCATAGCAAAGTTTTTTAATGCAAGAAAAAAAGATGTAGAAAAGCTGTATTCATTTTTAAGGACTCAATTTTTTTAAGGGTCAATTAAAGGCCAATAAACTCCTTTTAATCAGATACTTATAGCTTTCCAAAGTATCTTATAATTCTATTATAATGATTACAGGCCATTCGCCAAAAATCATAATCGATTATATCAGTTTTTATAGGTAAAGATAGAAATCATTGATAATTTTTTTTATATTTACTGTAAAAAACATGGTTGTTAATAGATTGTCAGTACCATTTTTCAAAAAAAAATATATATTAACATGCTGTTCCTGATAGGGTTTAAAAAAATTATACATTATTAAAGTAGTAAAATATGGTATAAAATCTATTAGGTCTATTATTACTGCTCAATCTGATTATAATTGATAACATTAAATTAAAAAAAAATAAATAAAAAATTAAATAAAAATACTATATTTTTGCATTTTAATTTCTATGGTATTATTTTAAATTTTGGCTTAATTTGGCCAAAATTCAAAATTATATCTTTGCGTGTTATTATAAGAAATATAATAAATCATTAAACAGATTTTCCAACACAAATATTCTTACTATTAATTATAGGTCTCTTGTTGGTTTTAATATTCAAGAAATACAGAGTAAGATTGGAGGCCGAAATATTGTAGTTGAAATAGATGAGTCAAAGTTCAGTAAATGAAAATATAATTGCAACTATTGTGTTGAGAGAGTTTGGGTCTTTGGCGATGTAGAAAGAACCCCAGAGAGAAAATTATTTGCAAAGGCTATTGATGACAGAACTGCTGAGACCCTACTCTCTCTAATCAAAGAAAACATACATGCTAACTCTATCATTTATTCAGATCTGTGGCATGCCTACATGAGAATCAGTTCTGATTTAGGGATTAGACACCAAACTATAAATCACAGCTTAAATTTTGTCAACCCCACTACAGGCACTCATATGAACACAATTGAAGGAACCTAAAATAGTATTAAAATCCAGGTTAGTAATATTAACCAAAAAAAAAACAATAATTTAGTTGATTTAAAATTTTTTAAACCAACTACTATTAAGCAATTGTTTACTTAAAAAATTAATCCAATTAATTTAAAATTATTACATTTAATTGCAACTAATTACCAATAGGTACCAAATAACGTTCAAGAGTATTATTCGAATTATAGCCTGCATTAAGTTTAATACAGACCATAATTCAAAATAATACTTTTGAATATTATTTTGTTTTTATTAGAATAATAAAAGTTGGCCCAATTAAACAATCTGTTTTTTTTAATTAGATTCCATCAAGAAGCTACACAAAGTCTCACATTTCAGACTATTTATTTGAGTTCATATGGCGATGGCAGAACAAAGATAATCTTTGGGAAAATATGTTGGAGTGTATGAAAAATACGGGATATTTTGATGAGAAAGTAGACGAAACAGATGAAGAGAATGAAGATGAAAAGGACAAAGAAGACAAAGAGAACGAAAAAGAGAGAAATGGTAGAAATAAAGAAGGAAGAATAAAGAGAAAGAGGAGCATGAGAATGAGAATGATAAGAATGATGAAGAGGAGGATGAAGAGGGGATGAAAATAACAATAGTGATCATAGAAATGACAATAATGATGATAATAATGAGGATGAAAATGATGAGGATTGGGAAGATAGTAATAATGAAAGTGACGAAAATATATTAAGATAAATAATAAATATTATTTAAAAATGATTAGAATAATTATTCACTTATCACAAATATTGGTAGCTACCTGAAAATTAGCATTTAAGATTCAAATTATTCAATTCGCTATATGTTAAATAATTACAATTAATTAATATTAAAAATAAATAAATAAATAAATAAATCAACTTGATTTATCCAAAAGATAAAATAGACATCTGGATAATATAATATAGTATATTTAATAAATTGGCTTTGATAAATATCATTAGGATATGTTTGTAGATATATGTTTGTAGATATGTGGTTTTGATAGATTTGCTTTTATAAATATTGTTAGAGTATATTTGTAAATGCATGTTTCTTAATATTTCACTTAATTCTATATTTTTATTTGAAGTTATGTTTTAAATTCTATATTATAAAATAGATTTTTTATACAACATTTCCCATATTTATCAACTTTAACTCCAATCTTTAAATAATAGCAATAACTGTAGAAAAAAAAAAGAGAATTTAGAATTAGTAACAAGTAAGTAGTCATTTTAAAAATTTCCATAAAATTACCTGTCCCAGTTGGCTTCGAAATGCTTTACATTTATCAACTTCAACTCCAATTCTAAAATAATAAGAAAAAACTTGAAATTAGTACAAGTAAAATAGTCATTTTAAAAATTCCCATTTAATTACCTGTTCTAGTTGGCTTAAATAAAATATAATTGCTTTGTGTTTATTGACTTCAACTATAATCCTTAAATAATAGCAATAACTGTCGTGCAATAGTGCACTTATGGGGGTCTTTTGGTCAGTTTCTACTTAGGTTTTATACTCACTTGGCACTGGCGTATCATACCAAGTCTTCCACCAATATTACTATGATGTTGACCACACAGTTTTTCCTTTAGAACATTTTTCACTAAGCTAAAACCTTTTTCTTTATTATTAGAAATCGCTAAATTTAAATACAAGATTATCTCTGAATATATTATTACACGGGTTACACACATTATGCAATTCTACAATTAGACTATAAATTACTTTTATGCATCTACTAATTCGACGATCACGCAATTCATGCATCAATGATCACGCCATTTATGCGACGCAGTCACGTTACATGAACCCGATCCAGTACCAGGGGTGTTGGTCATCGGCATGACAATAACTGTAGAAAAAAAAAAAGAGAATTTAGGATTAGTAACAAGTAAGTAGTCATTTTAAAAATTCCCATAGAATTATCTGTCCCGGTTGGCTTCAAAATGTTTTACATTTATCGACTTAAACTCCAATTCTAAAATAATAAGAAAAAACTTGGGATTAGTACAAGTAAAATAGCCATTTTAAAATTTTCTATTAAATTACCTGTCCCAGTTGGTTTAAATAAAACATAATTGCTTTATGTTTATCGACTTCAACTCCAATCCTTAAATAATTGTAATAATCATAGAAAAAAAAAAGAGAATTTAGGATTAGTAACAAGTAAGTAGTTATTTTAAAAATTCTCATAGAATTACCTGCCTCGGTTGGCTTTGAAATACTTTATGTTTAACAACTTCAACTCCAATCCTAAAATAATAAGAAAAAAACTTGGGATTAATACAAGTAAAATAGCCATTTTAAAAATTTCTATTGAATTACCTGTTCTGGTTGGTTTAAATAAAATATAATTGCTTTGTGTTTATCAACTTCAACTCCAATTTTTAAATAATAGCAATAACAATAGAAAAAAAAAAAAAAAAAAATTTAGGATTAGTAACAAGTAAGTAGTCATTTTAAAAATTCCTATAGAATTACCTTCCTAGTTGGCTCTGAAGTGCTTTACGTCTATTGACTTCAACTCCAATTCTAAAATAATAAGAAAAAACTTGGGATTAGTACAAGTAAAGTAGTTATTTTAAAAATTCTCATTAAATTACTTGTTTCAGTTGGCTTAAATAAAATATAATTGCTTTGTATTTATTGACTTCAACTCTAATCCTTAAATAATAGCAATAACTATAGAAAAAAAAAGAGAATTTAGGATTAGTAACAAGTAAGTAGTCATGTTAAAAATTTCTATAGAATTACCTGTTCTGGTTGGCTTCGAAATGCTTTATGTTTATCAACTTAAACTCCAACCAAAAATAATAAGAAAAAACTTGAAATTAGTAAAAGTAAAATAGCTATTTTAAAAATTCCTATTGAATTATCTGTCACAGTTAGCTTAAATAAAATATAATTGCTTTATGTTTATCGACTTCAACTCCAATCCTTAAATAATTGCAATAATTATAGAAAAAAAAAAAGAGAATTTAGGATTAGTAACAAGTAAGTAGTCATTTTAAAAATTCCTATAGAATTACCTGTCTCAGTTGGCTTTGAAATGCTTTATATTTATCAACTTCAACTCCAATCCTAAAATAATAAGAAAAAACTTGAGATTAGTACAAGTAAAATAGCCATTTTAAAAATTCTCATTGAATTACTTGTTCTGGTTAGTTTAAATAAAAAATAATTGCTTTGTGTTTATTGACTTCAACTCCAATTCTTAAATAATGCAATAACCATAGAAAAAAAAAAGAGGATTTAGGATTAGTAACAAGTAAATAGTCATTTTAAAAATTCTAATAGAATTACCTGTTCCAGTTGGCTTCGAAATGCTTTACGTTTATTAACTTCAACTCCAATTCTAAAATAATAAGAAAAAACTTGGAATTAGTACAAGTAAATAGCTGTTTTAAAAATTCCTATAGAATTATCTATCCAATTGACTAAATAAACTATAAATGCTTTGTATTTATCAACTTCAACTTCAATCCTTAAATAATAGCAATAACTATAGAAAAAAAAAGAAAATTTAGGATTAGTAACAAATAAGAGCCGTTTTAAAAATTCCTATAGAATTATCTGTCCCAGTTGGCTTCAAAATGCTTTATGTTTATTGACTTCAACTCCAATCCTAAATAATAAAAAAAAAACTTGGGATTAGTACAAGTAAAATAGCCATTTTAAAAATTTCTATTGAATTACTTGTCCCGGTTGGCTTAAATAAAACATAATTGCTTTGTGTTTATTGACTTCAACTCCAATCCTTAAATAATAGCAATAACTATAGAAAAAAAAAAAGAGGATTTAGAATTAGTAACAAGTAAGTAGTCGTTTTAAAAATTCTCATAGAATTACCTGTTCTGGTTGGCTTCAAAATACTTTACGTTTATCAACTTCAACTTCAATTCTAAAATAATAGCAATAACCGTAGAAAAAAAAAAGAATTTAGTATTAGTAACAAGAAAGTAGTTGTTTTAAAAATTTCTATAGAATTACCTGTCCCGGTTGGCTTCAAATAACGCATAAATGCTTTATACTTTTCAACTTCAACTTCAAGCTTTAATAGCAATAGCCAGGAAAAAAAAAAGCATGATTAGTAACTACGATATCTCAAGCATGGTGTTGACATTAAGAGTTTTACACATTTTTGACCGTAACTTTTGATATACCGGACCAATTTGGATGAAACAACCACCATTGGATTCAGCTCACTGAGCCGGTTCTAAAGAGCACAAGATCATGTGATTCTGATTACTGGATCCCGAGATCGGCAAAGATTTGTGAAATTAGCAATTTCATCAAACACATGACTTGATTCTGATTGGCTCAA